CCAGAGCGGTTATATCTGTCTTTCTCCTTTGTCTGGGAACGATAGTACGGTATTCCAGAGCCGGTCGTACTATTATCATGAATGACTCGTCTTGTTTTAGGTAGGGAGAAAGTTCCGGTGATACTTACCCATAACTGCCTTACTTTCGCAACCAGATTAAGTACATCTTTAGCACATCTTATTTCGGTAATAGAAAACGAATGCTAATGAATATAAGTCATTGTATTTGGTTACGACGTGAGAAGCATTGGTAGGCCTTATTTGATATCCGCGCAGCACATGTATTTTAACACTGTTGTTGCATGACCTATACGATTGAAGGAAGTGCAGGTTGTTCTTACGTTGCTTAAGAGCTCATCGTTGGTAAAACGGATGTCTTAGTTGGCCGGTTTGTTTCCGTTCTTAAAACGCGTTGGGAATATCATATGCAGTCATAAACAGCAGGGGACCGGAGATTAGGTCTTGCGGGTCCTAATTAAAATGCTCACCGAAAGCGCTTGGAGTTTCTAGGTCGTAAATTTTGATGTCCACTACCAGGAGAACGTGGCTGTAAGATCGTAAACGTAGTTTTTCGTGGTGGAGGCTAAGATCACGCCTATTCCTAAAGTGCACATTTGTGGGCGGTATAAAACCTCCACTGAGCGTCTGAAGCCCTGCCTTAAGTGTTGGCAAAACCATAATGCGTCCATGCCTTCATTCCTAGGGTAGTTTACGGAAAGATGAGTATTTCTGAACGGTAGTAAAGAATTACGCCGTCAAACGTTTTTGGTTCGATTGTTGCTCAAAAGTGATGTAACAGCTTTGCGATCTCGGCATCCGTAATCAAGTCGTTAAGCCATGTCTTATTTACCTAGATGAGGACACAACATATTCAGTTTTGGAAATAACAAAGCTTGTCTAACTAACTGAGAAGTCCTAGTGCCTTTTTATAACGACTGGTAAGAGCAGTGTATATCAAAAGCGCTTCTGAACACATAATCGTTAACGTAACTTTACGTCGACGCTTGTATGGCCGGAAGACAATTGTTTTTGGTGTATTCCTTTCTACCACTAAAAGACTGCTTTCATCTGTTACCTCAAACACTCATTAACTGATGCTTCGGATGCAAAGTTATGTGGAGTTGCTGTCGCTTCCTTCTTCTACGGCCTATTAATTGCACTACATTCTAGTGCTGAAATGCGAACAGTGGGGCGCTGGTTTTGGGGTTCCCTCAGCTAATATTGGCATTGCTTATACAGCCTTTATTAATTTTTCTGATGGTGTTTTGATTACAGACCTGTGCCAAAATTATAGCACTCTTGCAGTCATTCCTTTGGAGTAAAGCAGGCGTTTAAGCAACGTTGGACTACTTTCATCATAGTTTGGTGATTTGTGCAAACTAGACGTTTGGAGATATGACTTTGTGGATATGGCGGTACTATTCCTGGACCTGGGACCCGTTGGATCAATGCATTTGCGAACATCAAATATAAATATGGAATCTTTCCTCATTTGGCTCGGGATGTTCTTCTGGTACTGGCTATTTTATCCGACGCTGACTTCAATTGACTTCAGGGAATAAAGGAAAACGGCGTGACAAATCGAGAAGACGTGAGCTGACAAGACTGCGGTCATCGCTTCGTCGCCAGATTGCAATGTCACCTGATGTAGCGTTGGCTCATCAGAGCAAACTGAGTTTGGGTGGCGGGCGATACAACATAACGTAGTCTATTGGGCCCGGATTCCCAATGCTATGTATATGGGTCCCCAATGTTGCATGTCGTGCGTTAGTTTGTCTTTGATTGAGTTTGCCTTTAATTCAGGAAACTAGATGCATATTATGTTCGTTGAATTCTGTGTCCATTTAGTTTCCGTACGTTTGAAAAATGAATGCATCCTTTTACTGGTAATGTGGTTGGCAATATTTCCGGAGTGCATTCGTATATGTGTCAATTCTAACCTTTTTTGGGTGGTTGCAGACATGCTTGTTTAGTCCGTTTTGGGTCTATATGCAGCGACGATAGATGCCTAGGCTGTCAAACTTACGGTATTATTGAAAGGAACCAACTGTCAATGGAATATCATGTGATACAAAGACACAACCAGAAAAGACCGATCACTGCAACTTTGCAGTCGCCGAGTTTGACAGGAGTTCGTTGCCCGCTTGTTTGCCAGTTATCCATTTTGGGGTTGCTGGAGGTATCCTCTTAACTATATAATGTTTCTCGCTATTATATGCAAAGTTTCTTTCTTCTTTTTTATTCAAATTGCATGCCGGGTTACATTCTTTCGCATATGGAAATGTGACGGCATAAATTTAGCCTATATTTAAATTCCGTATAAGCGAGATAAAATTTCTTAAACACCTTGGGTAAATGATTTGGTGGATTTGACCAACATACTTCAATCCAATATGTTTCTAGCTTTCATAACACACAAAATCGTTTTCACACTCTATGGTGCTTAGTTCTGTAAACCAGATCTTCTTAAATTAGGTGTCTTTGTTACACTATTAAACCCGATAGACAGTGAAAGTTTTAATATTGGTACACAACCTAAATCTCCAGCAACAACATGGCAGATATTTAGTAGATGCTTTAAACAAATGTGTGTCACTACTGGAACTGTTGACTTGTCAATATAATGCGGGTAATTTGTGGCTTATATAAGCCATGTTTTATATTTAACACCGCCTATTTTACAGCCCATTAATATTATTATCATTTCCCAACAATTCGGGAAGAACAGTCTTTGGCGTAGGTCTTTATGAAAGTCTCATGAATCTTCTATGAATCGACATTTCCTCACAAATATTTGAATAACGCAGTCTTTCTAAGACACAACGGTTTTTTTGATTTCTGTTATCTGTAGTATCGAATCAATCGCGTACGCTAATTGGTACATTGACTTAAGGCAATCTCAATGTACCTTTTATTTTTTCATTGTATTATACATCTCACATCATCAGTTAGGAAGTTACTAAACATATACTGGTTAGTTAAGGCTGATGACCTAGACCCACCAGGTATCTTGAGCTGGTTTTGCAAATGTCCTAATGGCACAATTAAATGAGATATGTCCAAATTGTAAAGAGAGGTGCTATTCTGAACAGGTAAATATCGGCCAGATTGTAAGGAAAATGAACCAGAAATATATGGCCCAAAGGCGCAGCTAGCGTTTTGCCAAACGCTTGTGAATCACCGTACATTATTCACATTACCGAAGGCATTCATGTTAGTACTGCCTTAACTTTTGTTTAAAAGACTAATTTGTTCTGCGTTGAAATGCGTTTTAGACCTTGTGCTTTCCATTCCGATTACTACGATTACAGTTGTGTGGCAATAAGCTTCATGGGCAAGTACTGTAACTAGCCAAGGAAAGCTTTGACAGATGGTTACTGCGAAGTAGTCAGGTATACTTATCCTACATTTGTATTAGATGTAACGAACAACTAGTTTACCATTTGTCTAGACTTTGTACAACCGTGACTATTAAAATCCTTTGTATTATAAAACAACTGCGATCTTTCGCAATTAATTATTTTTTGTCCCCAATAAGGTTTGAAATCAGGGGAATAGCCTTATGTGGTATTATATTTCTTCGGATGTTGTCATGTTAACCATTTCGTTCTGCAGTGCTAAAATTCCAGAAATAGTACTGATTCCGTGTCGCTTTAAGAGCGGAATTAGTTTCTGGAGTTGGTCCAAATCAATGTCAAGTGTTTTGTACTCTTTATGCACTGCGACTGAGTGTTTCCTTTTTTGATTTAATGACCACGGTATTTTTAAATATATCTCCTTACCATGCCGTGACAAAAGCAAAATCTATTTAGCTTGGATAATAGGGCTTATTGAGTTCAATTATATCAAAATCAAGGAATACTGTTAAATCAACAGTAAACGCTAAAAGACTAATACGTACCTAATAATGTTCAAAATGCGAAATCTATTGCACAGGTTATAGCTTATTAAACTATGCATTGGCAATAGTTTGTGATATTATTCCTGTGCTGCTTTCATCAGTATTGTCAATTTTGTACGTGGTTCTCTTTGAGTGTAATTTCTATTGATGATATTTAACTTAGTTTTATGAAATAGGGTGATGTTGATGGTGTGCTTATTAAAATGCCATGGTGTAACTGAGAGATACACCTAGAGTTCTAAATAAACCGTAAATGTTATTGCATAATATGTCTTTGAAAACAGCAACAATGACCACTTGGCTACCTAGATTTAATCTTAAAAATTATTATGCACATTTATTTTGTAAATGCACTGTGTCATAATCGCATTCTCTATATTTTAGCAAACAAGAGACAATGGATATATTGTACGGCTGAACGATCTAGAGACAATGCTTTTACATGTTTTCTTATTTAATGCCACTTGTCCATTTAGGTCATAATTTATTTTATCCTAAGCGATTGTGGAAAGTGTAGCGGAAGCGCTTGTAAAGATCAAAAGTCTCTCTTGAATTGTCTAGAAATATATAACAGATCTCCGGGCTTTGACTGATGAAGTAGAGAGTTTATGATGCTACTGTACATTTCAGATGTACAATGCCAAATCAAACTTTTAATTTCAAGGTAATTTGTGCGACCTTTGCATAGCGACAAATTAAACTGGTACCCTGGGATGGGAACTAAACGAGTCTACAGGGTATTCAGCAAAATTTCATCGATACACCTGCAAAAACCAACCACAATTCCATTTTGTGAAAATGTTGTACTGGACTCTGACAGATTACCTGATGATCGTAACCAATGCGGTTTGCAACGAATTGACATTTGCTAAAGGTTATTTTTTAAGATTCGCTCCAACCAAATAACCATTTCTCTTGATATAACAGTGAAATAAAGTTCGGCATTCGTCTGAAGTATGTATGTAGCACGCCGGTGCTTTTATTTTGTCACATCACCTAGGACCAAAATATGTGTAAGTTTAGTTTCATGAATTAAGTTAATTGAGGAATTGGTAATAAAACTTAATGTTTGGTGATTTGTTTTACTTTTGTTTGGCAGGTTTGTCAAGGATTATTTGACTGGATTTTAGTTCAGCTTGACCAACATTTCACAATTTCGATATAATTCAGCACTGGAGTGGCATGGAGGCAAATACACCATAACTGGTGGACATGAAGTTTAAGGAAACACGAATCCTGGACACTCTATTTGCATCCAGCCTTGTAGCGCAACACTTCGTGACATCTACATCCACATATCTTCATTGTTCCTGATTTTTGATATGGTGACCGACTGCCTACTTATGATAACGTTTTTTATACAGCATGTTGTTAAAACCGGCTTTACGTTTGCTTCTCGTGGAATTATTTTATGGGAAAAAAGGAGACAACTTCTTTTATTATCAGATCTAATTAAGAGTAAATGGTTTCCATTAAACTTGGTAACAGCTGATAAACACGCCTTTGTGAGTCCTAGCTGTATTCTACTAATCAATGCATACCAATGCGCCAACAGCAGAACTAACACCTGGCTCTTCGTAAGGTGCAAAAATTAAATACAAAACAGTCCCCAACAACCGTCGCATACTTAAAACATTTTGAAACTTTTTTCAACAGTCTGCCTCCGTGATCAGACTGCCCTCACTAATCCTTGGACGGGCACCCACATGAAGAGTTCTGCAATTTCTTCCTACCGAAAGTTTTTTACAACAAGATGGCTGTCGTTTTTGTTTGCATTGGTTGTCACAACCGAGGAAGCAGGGTGGTTGTTCCCAAACCCGCAGAACTATTGTTAACAAATGTGTCAGTCGTTGCTTTTTAATCCAGACAATGGCTGTCTACTATTGTGTGCCCAGTGGCAATCCCAGCTCATACTATCTCTGTCCGTAGTAGAGCGAGGACAACAAATATCCAGACCGAGCGAATATGACTTAAATAGTGCTTTGTCGAGAAGTAAAACCATGGTTTACACAACTCTCCGGATAAGATGGGAACACGGTATGTGCCTTAGTCGTACATATCGGATGCCGCATTGAAATTAGTCTTCTGTCAAGTTGCTTTGCGAGTACACGTTGAACTGATGCTTTAATTCGCGTAAGTTCCACCAGATAGCCCAGTGTGACATAGTAAAGATATTGATTAGTTTCCAGTTCATCAAGTCTAGAGGCAATGTGTCAAGTTCGTTTAATATATAACGCTTATTGCAGTGTTTGTAGGATTAATCTTATTCCCTCTAACATGTTATCAAAAGTAGTTGTCCTCCTAATATAACCAGTCAGCTGGAAGTATAATTCCAGTTTAAAAATACGCAATCCAAAGTTTCGGTGCTTTACCTTCGTCAGCATTAACATTTTAAATCTACATTGGTCAATATATATTATCAGTGCCTGAAACATGTAACCTAATTCAATTATCTTTTGGAGTGCGCGTATATAGACGCTCACAAAGTGTCTTAAATGAACTAAAAATATTGCTCTCTAGACCTCATAATGGAAAAGAAATCGTTCTTTTGGATAAATCAGGACAACTTTGCTAATGTTAAAGTCATCTTCAACGATCAGTTTCGCAATGGCCTCCATGTTCGGATCGCTGTTAGCACACAGGTTTATACGAGAAAGTTAGAGTGGGGGAGTTATAGTGAGTGAGGGAGTGAGTTAAAGAACAACTAATAAAACAACTATTAAAACGGAGTTAACATAAACTTAATATACGACAGACCGTAGGTGGACATTTGCAACTCAGCTAGATTTCTTTGCAGAAACTAACTAGTGAACAATTTAACAGCCTATGCAAATCGTTGAAATTACCTTTGCAGTTGAGCGCAGCAAATTTAAATTGCAGTTAGACTTTAAATTATCTAAAGATCTGACAGGTCCAACCAGGGAAGTGTTCATGGAAAGTCAACGTGAAAAATGCAATATACTCATTTTCACCGGTTCTTTCCACCCAGCTAGAAACGGCAACTTGTTCGGTGCCTAAGGAAGGATATGTAACAAGCACTGGCTTCTGGACGAGCTAAATATTTTACGAAGCTATTTCGATAGAAAAGGCTATCCGAAATATTCGTTTGGAGAAACATTGTGTACGAGAACCAATTACAACTATGGTTTCAGAAAGTAAGCTACCGGTCTGCTTTCCTTACCGTTCAAGGAGGACTGGAGCGCTGAATATACTTCGAAAAGGCTTCAGAAATTATCGCTCAAACGTACAATGCAGCAACCTTATGATTAAGCTTCAAGTCAGTGCCGAACATAAATTAACAACTTAAGGAGAGAATTTCACTCTCAAGTGTTCCCTGATATGGTTATATTTCTACTTTTCCCGTCGATCAATAAATATACGAAGAAGTACAATACTAATATCCTCGAGAGCTATGGTACGTTGTCCAGCTCGGTTGTATAGCGGCGTGACTAGATCTGAGCCGTGTCTGCACACTTGGACTATTCCTACAATCAAGTGAATGCATTTGAGACATTTCAGCCCATCTAACACGTACCCAGATGCCATGCAATAGCGGCTAAATACCGTCCAATGCAGCTGCGGAGGCAATCGCCATTAGGCGTTATTACTTTGACTTTTGTGTGCACAAGACATGTGTCCAGGCACTCACCGTACACTGGGCCCCTGTAATACGGACATAATTTGTGTACAACACCACCCATACACAAAACACAGTCCTGATCGCCGTGGGGGTAAGCACTTAGATTGGTCACTCATACAATCTAGATTTCGAAACTGGACACTTAGATAATGTTTGCGTTCATGTTGTTCATTTGTTGTGTATTAGCCTGATGAGGAGCTACTGAAAACGTGCTTGTTCATTAACATCTATTATGAAATCGACTCCCGGTATACTTTATCAATATAGACGTATAGCGCATATCACATAGTTTAAGGTAATCAGATACTGTGTACTTTATTAAATCCCTATCCTGCAAATAAGATAAATGTCTGACGTGTTTATCAATGTTGCATACTTAATTTAGATATCAGAAAGACTGCTGTATTTCACTTTCTTGTCAGCATATATGGAGGGCCGATAATTATGTGAAACGTGAACGTTACTTCTAAATTTTGCCGTCTTCATTTTAAACCGATCGCACCGTTTATTTCACAAGCAATATGGTAATAGAGAAGGCATGCAGGGAACTGCATTTGATTTGCGATTATATGTAGATGCCAGAAGCAAAAGAATCACAAGTATAGGGGCTTTTGTGTTTTGAGGATAGTATTTCTTCATTTTATTGAATGACATACAGGTTGTCTCCGTAGCACATTATTAGCAGGCTTTTGAAACAGACATCCACCTGAATAGTAACCCTGCAACCATATGTATTTACTAATGCCAACTAATATGTGGCCCCGAGGTGCAAGAAGCTACTCAAAGTGGCCACATGGAAAGTTAGAATAATTTTACTAATCCATTAGGTCTGCCCAAAGCCTTTAAAACATGTTTTTAAAAGAAAGTTTATACATCTGATTAACTCGCACCCATTACCTGCCCGTTTTAGAAGGTTGGCTTACCATAAGTATCGATCATTCACAAGTGGCACATGATCGGTTTCACTACCAACGGGCAATATTCTAGGGAATCACATGAACTGGTTGCTGTCCAAAATGCGACGTGACTAAGACGTGCACAACACCGAGAACCAGACAACCCAGAGGACAACTGCACTGATATCGACTTTGTCGTCGTGGGTAGCGTGGAAAAGCATAAACCATATTTTGATCAACTATTCAGTTGTCCGTTAAGCCTCTTTCACTAGACCGAATCACAATGTCCTTGTCTCAAACAGTCCAATCGCCCCTTGTGCGATTACATTCGATAACCTGTAGGTTTTGCAACAAATTGACGTTCGTTCGTCGCTAAAAAAAAGGTTTTTGTGCGAAACAGCCTATACCTATTCTGTCACTTCTTGTTTTGCATGTCAATGTGTGAAGGCAAATTTTTAATCCTACTTAACTAAACAATCTCTAAGATTGCCTTTTGATTTACCCCCTGCAGTTTAAATTGCGGACGACGAAAGAAAATAAAAAAACGTAGCTTTCTTGTTTCATTTAGCTTTTATTATTCATTGCGAGCAGGATTCCTTAAAATAACGCGTTGCGTTTTTCTTATTCACTAACATGTACGCCATCCATTTTCTGCCTCTATAGATCGCATAATTGATGAAAGCCTCAACTGCATTTTTCTCTCCTAACGCAAGCATTTCATTTATTTCGTCTGTCTAACCTTGGTAATTGTAATATTTTGTAATATTATATAGCCAATATTCATAGTTTAATATTTAGAGCAGTCGTCGTAGGACCGAGGCATCAAACACAGGAAATTGGCAAACGGGTAATGGCTTATTTCCAACGTATCTTAGAGTAGAGACGCAGTAACAATAGAGTATTAGCTAGTGAAACGTTGTGGTAGCGCAATTATTATCCATGGCTATTACGCAATGTACAGTACAAAGTTATAAGCATGTGTTACCGACTTAATTGCAATACATCAATCACTTCGCCCTGATTGTAGAAATGTCACGTCATTGTGCATCTACCACAGGTATTCGACTTACTTTCTTGTTAACTAGGTCAAATGATGCAGAATATTTAGATAAAAGGGACCATTTATGCAGACGCTCAGCATAATGCGTGCATACCTAATTTGTCATTTGCCAGTTCATTAAAATTTACTTGACGAGCATGTTTTTTCAGGGCACGTATGGTATACGAATGGCCATTTTTATAGCGATTCACAGGGATCTCCATTGATATTGGCAGCATTACGATTGGATTTCACATACGCAATGAAAGCGCAATGAATAAGCGTCATTAATTCATACAGCGGCTGTTATTTCTATTGTATATTTGTTAACGTATCTTTAGACACTTACAACCGTAGGTTGTTCGCATATAATTGTTCCGTCGAATTCGCCTTTTTGAGTCACAAACCAGATTTACCGAGTAGGAGTTGACTAGCAGATTTTGTGGGCAACTAACAGATTTGCTGCGCTGCTACAATATCTTTATTCGACAAGGCATATTTCGGAGAAGCAGTAATCCGTGTTTTTAAAAGCATTGCGTTGCTAACTTGCGACGTGTTCCTAAATCCTCATAGTGAAAATCGCATGTGGTAAGTGGTCAGCAACGAGTGTAATGCTCATCTTTAAGTTTTACAGACCTCAGGTAAATTAATAAGGAAAAAGTAAAATGTAACAGTTGCTTGAGAACGCACCGTTCTCAATTACTAACATGCTACATCACTTTAGCTTTTCAGGTTGCACATATATCTTAAGTTCAAACTATATCTCGCTCGATAGGACATTAATATAATCTGTTTACATAAACATTAAAATGTCGCTAAAAATTACTTCGACATTACCAGATATACTTTGAGAATAGTAACCTAATCTGGTCAAAAC